TTCTTTTGTCAGATGGAAGTCCGTGCTGGACAAGTCTGACCCTTACAGACTTAGGAAACAGAAACCTCACAAATAAGTTAACTGAAGAGAATACACTGCATCTGAGTACAGATGAATATGACATGGATGAAACGCTTAGCGTCAATCACTTCTCCCACAGATCACATGTCTGCTCTAGAACTCAGTGTTCCTAAAACAGGGACATCTGCCCTATACGTGGATTGGGCAGAACTATTTCTTCTCACTGGAATGCCCTTCCATCTCATCTCATTTCTGCCCAAAGCCCAGAGACAACAGATTAATTAGCTGGAGCTCTTTATAGATTGTAGGCAAATGACCTTAATGCCAGGCCTGACGCTCCTTCCTTTCTGTGGCTTGCCTATCTCTTATCACTCTATCACATTCTTTTACTGTTACTTGACAATGTGTCTCCTTTCCTAGACAGAGCACTCTGTAGGTGAGAGCTATTCCTTTTCTTCGTACATCATACACGCTTAGTGAACTCAAAAGAAAATTCAGTGGGGGAAAAAAGTCCAAGGTAAGCATGAAACGAAAGACAGTGGAAGATGTGGAGGGAAGAGGAGTTGGAGAAGGCAGTTAAGGATGGCCTGAGTCTTATCTGTTAACTTTCAACACAGAGAAATGGTTCAGGTATTACTTATACAAATGAAAATTAATTTCTTTGAAAAGTAGAGAATGATAGGTATGCAACTAATTTACATAGGAAGTAATCCATTAACGACTCTACGTAGAAGGTACTAACTTTTACTCAATTTCAATATACTTTTGAAAAAACTGGTTTTAAAGAAAAGAGTTTTCTGATTACATTAAAACCAAGTCAATGGTGTGGAGTCAGAAGCAACTCATAGCTGACCCTCAAGTGGTTTTTCAGATACTGTAAATTGCACAAGAGGAGACGGTCCATCTTTTTACCACAGGACAGTTGATGAGTTCAAACCTTTGGGTTGGCAATGCAACTCCTTATCCTCCAGGCTGCCAGAGCTCCCTTTATAGAAGGCTGAACACAAAACACAATTGTAATCCAATTGGCAAACAATTAACACATCAACTGAAAACCAAAGAAGGCAGACTACAGGCACCTTGACCGGAAGAGGAGAGCCATGGCTAACCCTTCTGTCTTTATGAGCGCTTCTTAAGTCCTGGGGATGGCAGTATAATTAACTTACTTTTACTCCTCTGCAGACAGGTAATTATGAGTCATCTGTGCACGCCTGATGTTCATGGACCCAGGGCTGCTTTTATCAGAGATTTGCCCCAAATCCTTTCCTGCAAGCTTACTTGAAGAATGAAGCCCTTGGGAATATATTATGCTGACCAGTGGTTCTGTCTCCTCTGTGAACAAGTCAGCTTTCTGGCCAAGAATAAAATGACAGAAGCACTTGTCCAGTTAGGTGCAGCCAAGTGGAGTCCCTGCCTAAGGCGTGTTTGGCTTCCACAGTTGAAGAAGAGCGACTGGAGTGAGTCAATCGTGGCAGCTAAGGCAACACTATCGGAATGAGGTTTTAAAAATGCTCTCGATCTGCAAAGAACATAAAAGTTGGACTGGGGAAGAGCTTGGTGAACAAAAGCTGCATTACTGGATTTGAAGAGGCTGCAGGGGGTGGAGCAGCCCCTGGCTCCCTCATTCCCTCTCCCTTCTGACACTACAGCACTTCCCTTATCTAAAGCAAGGGCACAGAGGGCACACTGCCTGGCCAACAAGCAGCAGAGTGGGTGCCAATCACAGCAGTGAAGAACACGAGCTCTGGAGTCAGACAGGCTGGGTGGGAACCTCTGCTCCACCGCCAGGCAGCTATGTGGTCCTGAGCAAGAGTCACTTAATCTCTCGACTCTTACATCCCTCTCCTGAAAAGTGGGATTTATCCCGTTTACAAGTGTTTCTCAGAGATCACCTACAGACACAGGACGGCACAGAGGTGCACACGAGTGGGCACAGGGCAGTACATGACAGGGCCTGCTGGATACCCTCCCTTAGCTCTCAGGAACAGAATCTCCATGTTACAAACTTGGACATGGTTGCACATATAAAGTTTACGCAGGTAAAGACTGAGTCACAGGCGGCACTAGTATGAGGTGTTTGGTACTGTTGTCACCTGTCACCTCTCAGCAGTGGCCCATGAGGCTATAAACCAGAAGAACTCTCTCTTTCAAGGTAGGGGTTAGGCCTTGAGCTATGCAAGTAGCCCAGGCAGCCTAGGTCCCCAGTGTTTCAAGTCCTCTGGGATGCAGATAAATTTGAGAGCCCCACAGGAAAAAGAAAGTCTATTTGCATTCTCAAGGAAGTCAATGCTGTACTTTGAAAATTTATAGATTAGTCTCAGGGTGTTAGTATGTAGGTAGCTCCCCACTCGTGATGTATTCAAGTCACAAGGAACTGGACTTAAGACGGTGTGTTAATTGGATTCTACAGCTTATTATTGGTAATACGTTCTATGTCCAGCATTGCACACATGTTATCAATCTCAGATGTGATGTATCAACCCTTAAAAACAGACTAGATTCATAAAGATACTGATAATAAAAGTAAATAACAATGCAAAATAGCTTTCCAGCCTGGTCCCAGTGCTATGGCCCCTGCAAATAAGGGTGGTGAGAAGAAGAAAGGCCATTCTGCCATCAACGAAGTAGTGACCAGAGAGGACACCATCAACATTCACAAGTGTATCCATGGAGTGGGATTTAAGAAGCGTGCCCCTCGGGCACTCAAGGAGATCTGGAAATTTGCCATGAAGGAGATGGGAACGCCAGATGTTCACATTGACACCAGGCTTAACAAAGCTGTCTGGAGCAAAGGACTAGGAATGTCCCATACCACATCCGTGTACAGTTGTCCAGAAAATATAATGAGGATGAAGATTCCCCAAAAAAGTTGTACATACTAGTTACCTATGCACCTGTCACCACTTTCAAAAGAGTGGATAAAAACGAATAGCTGATTATAAAATAGTTATAAAACTGTCAAAAAACCAAACAAAAAAGCAATGCAAAATGAAAATAAGTAAATAAATGAGGCATTCAACTTATGTCAGAACTGACTTAAACAGAGTCTTGAGAACTTCTCATCACAGAGTATTTGACTCTGATGCTTGCTGCCTCTTCCGAGTCTTAGTCCTCAGCTTCTGGAGGACACCCTTGCTTTGTCACCTTCTCATGGTCACAGGACCCTTTATCTGGGGCTTTATCTGGGAGAAGCACCTCCTTTCTGCTCTCAGACCAGGTGTTACAGGTTAGACTGACTCCTTCCTGGCTCCAAAAATTATGTTCCTGTCCCACTGGCTGGCTACCCAGACTGACTGAAGAATGAAGCATATTCTAAAGTCAGGCCCATGGAGCAAACGGGATTCAATTCTGGGGTTGCTATTTGAGCTAATATTTGAACCAACAGGGAAGCAATTCTTGTTTTGTGCTTAACTAGACTGTGGGCTGAGGAACGCGGATGGGGTAGACCGCAGGGAGTTGCACCATGGACCCTCAAGGCTGCACCTCTCTGGCAATTTGGTTTGAATTGATCAGTCACTCTTCAACAGAAACACGAGCAATCTCCTTCCATGCAATGTGCAGCCTGTGCAAGCAGCTGGAGGGGCAGCTATGTCTCGGTTCCAACATGACAGCTATGAGTTGTTTGAGAGAGCAGGCGATGAGGCAAGCTGCATCAGAGAGTTGGACAATGACTAGGGAGAATAGAAGGAGAATTGATGCCTTTGAGTTGTGGTGCTGGAGAAGAGTATTGAGAATACCATGGACTGCTAGGAAAACAAACAGATTTGTCCTGGAAAGGGTTAAACCGGGTGGCTCCTTGGAGGCAAGGATTCTGAGGCTCCGTCTAACAAACTTTGGACATGGAGAGACCGGTCCTTGGAGAGGGACATCATGCTTGGGAGGTTGGAGGGACAGTGCAGGAGGGGAAGGCCCTCTATGAGGTGGATTGATTCAGTGACGGGGCTAATCGGGATGGGAGTGTCAGAGACAGTGCGATTGGCACAGAACAGAGCAGAGTTTAGGGCTGTTGTACACAGGGTCGCTATGAGTCGCAAGCAACTCGACGGCACACAACAACAACAATACAAGAGAAAACCTTTCTGTGAAAGAAGCCAACCCCAGAGGTGAGGGGGCGCGCGGACAGGCGGACAGGAGGGAGGAAACACAGGAACGCGCAGTGCAGCCCCTGAGTAAGCTGCCCCAGTCAGCCCCCTAGTCTCTTCAGTTAAGTGAGAAAATGCATTCTCTTTTTGCTTAAGCTAGTTGAGAAGTTTAAACTCTTTGTGACATAGAACAGAAAAGGTCCAAACTGATATATTTTCTCAATTCACCAACAATGTTTGACAGTGAGTCTCTTCCCTAGCACATAGGTCAGAAAAGAGTCCAGGCATTGCGCCTCCCAATTCTCTGTGTTTTTAAGCCTGACCAGAAAAGGGCCTCTGATCCTGCATGCTTGGTCATAGGAGGATGGATGTTGACTCTCTATGAATTTACTGCCAGCTGGCTGGAATTATTTTGTCAGTATTTTGTTGATCCAGGATTTTAGCATTATAGGCAGCATTATGATAATGCCTTCCTAGTACCTATTAGCTGGATGCTAACGTGGTGTTGTTGCTATGTATTGTTGAGTTAGAACTGACTCACAGCAGACCCTCCAATGGGCTTTCCGAGGCAGTAGGTCACACAGAAGACTGCCTATCTTTCACCGTTGGGGCAGCTGGTGGATTTGAACAGTATGCTTTGGGGTTGGCAGGGCAATTCCTCACCATTAAGACACCAGAACATCCTCCAACTCTATCACATATACACAAAGAAGCAGAGTCCCATACCTATAATATCTCTAATACTTTCTTCTATTTTTCAATATTTACCTTCCAACAGGAGCAGATTATATGCTTAAAACTACACCTAGATGGACTAAATAATTTAACATGAATCAAATTATAAAACGAAAGCAAATTAGAATTGAAATATAAATCAATAAGAACATAAAGACTCACCAATCAAGGACCAGATTGGATTGTCTTCTTCTTCGATACTTGAAAATTGACCTATAAGACTGGCTTGCACCTCAGCATTTAAAGGGGACAAGTCTCTCTCTTTCAGAGTCTTGTTAACTTCAACACAGGTCTGAATACCAATAGAGTTCAGGGCTTCCTTCAGGTTAAATGTCCTGCAAAAGAGAAGACAAAATAAAAAATGCATTAGTTTTTCTTCTTTGAACTTTTTTGTTTCAAATGTCTATCAATCTTCTCCTACACAGGTAATAATGACTTCTATCTCATCTCACATACTTTGGTTGTGTTAACCCAAAGCACCAATCCTGGGAAAGAGACAGTGAAAGAGAGGAAGACCCTCAGATGAGGTGGATTGTCACAGCGACTATAACAACGGGCTTGAGCATATCAGAGACTGTGAGCTGGCTCAGGATAGAGCAAGGTTTTGATGCACTGTTCATTCGATTGCTATGAGTCATAGTTGAATCAACAGCACTTAAAAACAACTAGAATGGGCTAGAAAAAAAAGGTAATTCCTCCCAAAAACCACTCCTTGTACACAGCAGATTTTTAAATGCTAAAATACTCAACTATGTACATACTGTTTAGCTATAAAAACATAAGCAGAAAAATGTGATCCCTGAAATATAAGTCTACAATCTTAGTTATATATAGGGCTGACAGGAAGGAAAAGAAACCATCTATTTGCTTTTCAAAATAAATCTCTTGGTCTGACTCTGTGTCAGAATAAATTTTTTTACAAGGTATGCTTAAGATGACACAACCCTGCTTGCTGAAACTGAAGAGGACCTGAAGCGCCTGCTGCAGAGTGTCAAGGACTGCAGCCTACAATATGGATTGAGGCTCAATGTCAAGAAGACAAAGATTCTCACCACTGGACCAATTGGCAGCATCAGGATGGATGGTGAAGAGAGTGAGATTGTACACAGCTTTAGTTTGCTTGGCTCCACACTCAACACTCTTGGCATCAGCAGCCAGGAAATTAAAAGGCGCATTGCCATGGGAAAGTCTGCTGTTAGGGACCTCTCCAAAGTACTGAAGAGCAATGGCGTCTCTCTGGAGACTAAAGTGCGTTTGATACAGGCCATGGTCTTTGCTATCACTTGTTATGTATCAGAGAGTTGGACAATGACCAAGGAGGATAGAAGGAGAATTGATGCCTTTGAGCTGTGGTGCTGGAGAAGAGTATTGAGAATACCATGGACTGCTAGGAAAACAAATAGATTCGTCCTGGAAAGGGTTAAACCTGGTGACTCCTTCGAGGCAAGGATTCTGAGGCTCCGTCTAACATACTTTGGACATGTTGTGAGGAAAGACCGGTCCTTGGAGAAGGACATCATGCTTGGTAAGGTGGAGGGACAGCGCAGGAGAGGAAGGCCCTCTATGAGGTGGACTGATTCAGTGACTGGGCTAATCGGGATGGGAGTGTCAGAGACAGTGTGATTGGCACAGGACAGAGCAGAGTTTAGGGCTGTTGTACATAGGGTCGCTATGAGTCGCAAGCGACTCGACGGCACACAACAACAACAATGCTTAAGAGCTAAGGCAGAGTCAAGTCACTTATCCACGCTTGAGCACTGAGTCTACTGGTTGTAGATGGCACTGAGTGGGCCCTGGCTCACAGCAACCCTTTGGACACAGAATAAAGCACGGCCTAATCCTGTGCCACACTCACAATTGCTGCAGTGTACTGTGCAGGCACTCTGTCAGTCTTTCTCATTAAGGGTTTTTGTTTATTTGCTGACCATCTATTTTACTGCATAATATCAATAAATATAAGAGGGGAAGGTACTCAGAAGTCAGTATTGTTGTTACAAAGTGCTATCACGTCAACTACACCTCACAGCGATTCTCTGTGCAGTCAGATTGAAACTGGGCCTGATCCTGCATCATCCTGTCGGTCTCTGCTGTGCCCACTGGTGGAGTCATGTTGGCTTTCCATCTTATTGAGGGTCTTCCTCTCCTCCTCTGGCTTTTCACCCTTCCTGATGTCTATTTTTAGGGACTGGTCCCTCCTGACAATAGGCTTGAAGTATGTGAGACCAAGTCTCACCACCCTTCCCTCTGAGGAGCCCCCTGGATACTTTTCTAGGACAGGATTGTTATTTTGGCAGTCTATGGTATAGTCAATATATGGTATATGTTAGTATACTAAGCTGAGTCACTTGAGCTCTTTACTGATATGGAGTTTGTTTTCAATATGGCTTTTCTACTATGGCTTGCTATGTGGATGTTGAGCTCTTTACTGATATGGAGTTTGTTTTCAATATGGCTTTTCTAGTATGGATTGCTATGTGGCTGGGCAGGACTAAGCTAATGGAGCATGTTAGTCTATCCATGAAGGGACTGGCTATCTGCTGTCCTACAAGGGGACTGGTCAGTTTCAACAATCTACAAGAGGACTGACTGGCTAGTCTCATCAATACATTGAACAGCTCCATCTGCAGAGAGAAATCTTCCCCAGTCAGAGAAGAGGAGGCAGGAAAATGTAGGACATGCTTCAGGACGGCAGCAGCAGCCATGGCTGAAGTGGAGAACTGAAGTGGAGCACGAAGTGAGGTGGGACTTGGAGGGTCAGGAAGAAGCAGGACTGAGAACTTGGGGACACTCAGAGTCACGTGGCTCGAGGCTGAGGTGACTGTGTACATTTTGGGTGCTGTCTTGACTGTCTGTTATTAATCTATTATTCTGGATTAACTGGTTATTAATCTGGTTATAACCCTTTTAACTCCCCCAGTCCAGTTCTCTGTGGTCTTTGAGCTATCACATCAGATTTTGGATCCAGCAAAGCAGTAAGTTTGGTGTTGAGTTATGTTTAGTCAGATCCAAGAAGGCACTCGACAGTCCACCGCGTGCAGCAGTAGGCCCAGAATCATCATATTAGATGGACATAGCATGTTGCCAACAATCCTCATGGTAATAATCCTGATAGAGAATTGGGGTGGGTAATTGAAAAAGTCATTCTCTACACCAGAGGCGGATAAAGGTATGGAAGGCTGGCTCTCATGCCTTCAACACGGTGTGTTCACACTCAGTAAGAGTTGCTCTGAGGAGTTCACCACTGGGGAAGTTCCTACGTTTCTCAGGGACACCTGGAAGAGAAGTAGAAGATGCTGTGCTGCTGTACGCTTCTTCCCCATATCACCTGAAACGATTTTCTTCTTGCCAGATGTTACAGTTCCAGACCCAGGGATTCAGGTACAGGTACCAGGAGCAGGGGTGATCCTAAGCAGACAACTAACAATACCCTTACATTTGTATACAAGAATTCCCAAGGGTCTGGTGGGATGGATAGTCCCTTCAACTCAAACTGCAAAAATAGGGTTAATGGTGAATATTACAATATTGCACAGTGGCTGAGACAGCCCAGTGGTGTTGTACCTATGTGATCTCTATATAACAAGAATGGGAATGGGGCGGGGGGTGGGGGGGGAGACTGGTGTTGAGATGAGTAAAACAGCCATGGAAGCGTGGGGTCATGTCTGACCGCAGGGAAATTGTTCTTGTGTTATTGAATGCTGGGGGATTGTTTTCGTGTTATTAACACTGTGGACAGAGATGCGCTGCCCAAACCCCGTGGAATTGATAGAGAGTTAGATATGGCTTTAGAGCAAGATGTGGTGGTACTTGCTTTTTTTTTACAACTGATCATGACCAAAGATAGTCATTCTCATAATTATTTCTAAGTAACTGAATTTAGAATCCAGAAATAATTAAAAATGATTGCTGTTATTGCTATGTGCCATCAAGTCAGAATTGACTCATAGCTGACACTCCATTGAGTTTTCAGAGACTGTAAATCACACATGAGAAGAATGCCTACCTTTCTCTATTTGAGCAATTGGTGGATTTGAACCAGTGTTTTGGGGTTTGCAGTGCAAAAACCAGTGTTTGCAGTGCAGCTCCTTGCCACTGATCATCAGAGCTCCTTAAAAAGTAATCAGGGGCGAGTTACTTACTAGGCAAGAAAAAAAGGCAATTTAGTATTTGTTGAGTCCACACCATGATGGGGGAAAATTACATAGCATAGCTTAGTATCTCTGGTGCCCCAGAGGTAAGGAAATGCACCAAGAGGAATGTGGTTCAAATCCATCAGCTGCTCGCTGGGAGATACACAAGCATCTCCTCATCTTTGGAAGGTCAGCAGTGGGTCAGTTCTGACTCAACAATACACAACAACAACAATCAAAAAAAGGTTTTTGAGATAACTCTGAACAGAATAAGAACTAATGGATCAAAGAGGGCCCCAATGATAGGAAGCTGCGTAACAGAGTGAATAAAAACAAGCCGTGCCATCACACAGACTTGGGTTCAAATCCTGGCTATAGATAGACTATTTTACATGTTATTTGACTATTAACCTCTCTATTGAATATAACCTCTTTATCAGGCTATTAGGCACATAGCAAATTTTAAGAAAAAGAAAGGGGAAAAAACCCTATTTTATCACTATTCTCAACAACAATAGTAGATTCTTGGTGTTCTTCCTTTAGTGGAATCTGTTAGAAGCCCACACTGAAGCTTCTTTTTTGGGGGAGGGTCCAACAATTTAAAGGTAGGTTACTCGGTGGCAAAATTTTTTATCTCCTGACTTTTTGTTCATGCCAAAATACTACCCTAGTTCCCTTCTCTTTGGAATCACTGATTAAAGTCGGATAATGGAAAATGAATTGAGCAAAAAGAAAACTTCTACTAAACATGTGTATCAATCATCTCTGCAGGATTAAAAAAAATGTCACCACTTCTAAATACTTTCTAGCACTCTGGCTCTGCCAGGTCAGTAAAGACATTCTTTCACAGGAGAGGCATGACTGAGTAGGAACAAGTGAACACAGAGAGCTTTCTTTGATGTGGCGAGTTAAATGGGGAGGTAGGTGGAATTTTTGGTTTTGTTTGGCTTGGTTTTGAAGGCAGCACTGTCAGAGAAGAGCTCTTGCCTACCTCCATCAGGAGTCTGAAATACTATCCTCACCCTGGCACTTGCTACGGAAAAGACCTCTCCCTTCCTATGAAAGGACAACTAAGCCTTCAGGGATATTAAAAGAAATTCTAGAAAAAGAAGGTGTAAGATACACTAATGCACAGTCCTCGATATCATACCAAGGTTACTCATGTTCTCTGACACATATGAAGAGCTTCACTGAAAGAGAGGATTGCAGACACAGACATTCGGGACTTACTTTTTGTGCATGCCTTCAAGAAGAACAGCGGAGATCCTTTTTAATCTGTCTGCAAGCTCAGGTAGACCTTCTGTGACAGCACCCACCATGTTACTGGTAATCAGAGACACGCAGGCAATCATTTTCAATTGATTCAGCTTCTCTGTCAATTCCTGAAGACGTGCTCCATCTGTCATGAGTGTCTGGCATAGTTATTTGAAATATGAAAATGGAAAAGGAAGCTCAATACCATGAAAACATAAGATAAGGAACTAGAGGCAAACTCTCATTTTTATCCGATTTTAATAAAGTTATTAAAACTCAGCCAGCTAGAGCACATAACTTAACGATTAACAATTAAAATACTAGAAAACTTGAGTGAAGGGGGAGGGTCACTCACCTCTGGTAATTCCTTTTTCTGGTAATCCCACTGTAATAGTTTCAAGTAACTGTTATTTAGCACCAGTGTAGGGCTCAGGCTTGGCTTGGAGCCACCTTCGCCTCCAGGAGGTAAATCAGCCTCAGAAAGAGAAAGTAGTTCTTCATTTACAGATTCTTTTATCCATTCTGTCGTTTGATCAAGAGCACCTAAAGGGGAAATGGTCACACATCTGTCCTGAGTGCTCCTTTCATTTGGACATTCTACAAGACAGATGCTATGTTAGGAGCTGACGACACATGAATGTGGCACTGTTAAACCAAAGGCAAGTGGTTCGAATCTTGTGTGATTTACAAACTCCAAAAAACCACTGGAGGGTCAGCTATGAGTCAATTCTAACTGGATGGTACCAAATTATTTTGAAGTGTAACGTCCCCAAGAAGCTTATGATCCAGTTAGGGAGACAGTCCTGGAAACTAACAAACATTTGCTATATCACAAAGCAAGTGAAATACTAAAGTCTATTCTAGAAAGATTATAAAGTTTGGAGGCAAGATTTCTTTTTGAGTGCATCTTTCTTAGGGCAACCTCACACACACATTTTTACTTTAGTCTAAGTTCTATCACTTCTGACTAGCAACAAATTGCTTTAATATACCACAATTCTTACAAAATTATGTATTTGAAAGACTTTATAAGGTGGCAATTGCCAAGAAATGAAGACTGAACACAGGTGCAGACTTTTTTTTTTTTTTTTTTTTGCAGTTTTTTATAACGAGGTAAAGAAAGAGAGAGGAAAGTAAAGAATAGTCACATTGAGATTCCTTGCCAGGCCAGCACTTGAATGGTGGTGATTTACGAGGAGCTGTTTGCCGTTAAAACACCACCACCCCTAGAATTTCACAATTCTCATTTCTCTCTGGTTGGCAAATGTTCTTAGTTTGCTAGCTCTGTTTATAAAGATGTAAAAGGCTTGCAGTCTTTTATTTAAAAGACATCCAACAGAGAGAGGGAGAGAAGAAATCATCATGGATATAATTACAATGTGGCAGTAATAAGCATTTATACTGCAGGCTTAATCATTTACAGCTGACACATTTAAAAGCCCATTTAGTTATCTTGCACAAAAGCAACTGTGGTTCTCAATCCTGGCTGAGTTTAGAGTCACCTGGGGAGTACTAAATAGAAAAAAGAAATTATTCTGGGCACTGCTCCTAGAGATCCTGATTTAATCAGACAGAGGCGGGGCTCATGGATCTATGTTTAACCACTCTGGGTGATTCAAACATGTAGTCAGAACTGAGCACTGCTGGCAAGGTAGGAAGAGTAGCAAGAGCCTACAGCAAATGAAGACGCATCAGCTTTGCTAAAGAAAAAGCCGTGGTGACTTCGCCCTCATAAACTAACACATCAACTCTGCTGTGTGTCTCTGGAGGCAAATTCAACCCCACAAGATACTTGTAACCCTGTTTTTCACATGGACAGTAATGAGATCCTCTTCATTTGTCCATTTATTTTTACCATAATTATTAACCACCTACTAGGTGTCGGGTATGTATGTACCAAGTGCTAGGGATTCACAGTCGAATAACCAGGGCCCTGAACCACTTCCTTCTGGTTGAGTCACTGCAGTGGAGTAAAATGAGAATAAGTCTGAATTTGTAGAAGGCAGGTGAACTGGGATTATAAGGGGACTGGAAAAAATTATGGGTTGACACCCTACTGAAAACTGACCTCATTCTTGGGAAAAAGAGCAGTGCACATGCAATATGTGTTGGATGCTGAGAAGAGACTGCTTGCTCATGTTTCTCCAGCAGAGCTGCTGGGGGACTAGAACCGCTGACCTTTTAATTAATTGGCCTAATGCACGATGCAAACAGGGAGACTTTCTGTACCATCCAGAGATTCCTAATATAGACCAAGTGCCCCAATTTTCCACTGGTATAATGTGGCTACCTTATCTGGGATATTTGCTATTTTAGTCTCCTACTACCTTGTCTCACTGTGGTATTAGTTTTAAAAAGGATTTCTCCCATATTCTGTTTGTTTTATGAGAATCAAGCATCCCCACCTCCCTGACAAGGGTCTGGTCTGACTGAGTCATGGGACCATCAGACTCTCAATGGTCGTCAGAGCATCGAAGGATGTTCTCTGTTTAAAATGCAAATGAACCATCCTGGCCATGGAGCCTCTGGGCTTTCTCTGGGTTTTTACTAAGGACACCTCACATTGTCCTGCTTTCTCACCTTCCTGATGATCATATTTCAGTGTTTTGGTCAGTCTTCTTCCACGTAACCCAGCTTGCTCACTGGGTTGTTGGCCACCACATAGCCCAGCTGACGGACAGGGCTTTGGCTTTGGGGAAATGTGGCTTCCAGTAGTGGTGTCACAACTTAATGAGCTGTGTGACTCTAACTTTGGACAGGTCAATGCTGAGCATTTTTAAAACATTCCATAAATATTTCCTGAATGCCTTACGTGTGAGGCACCCTCACAGTGTAGTTTGGTTCATCTTTGAAAAATATAGTTAATATAAAACCACTTTTGTAGAATAAGTATGAGGATCCAAGGCTGGGGGGAGGGGTGAGGATGGGGGGTGGGGGAGGGTGTTAATCATAGGGCTGCACAATTTGATGAGTGGGTGGTGTGAAGGAAATGGGAAGGACTTTTGTGAAAAACAGTGTATTCAAACTTTGTAAATAAATCAGACTAATGTAAAAAAAATTTAAAAATAATTTAAAAAGCCCCAATTTAAAAAAAAATATATTTAAGTCTGTGGGATTATGGAAATAATCACATGAACTGAAGTTCATGAAAATAATTTTCCTAGAGAATAAGATACAACTATCTAGAGAAATGAAGAAGGATCCTTGGCAAAGAAACAAATCCTTTTTTGACTGGGTATCTTGGAAATTACTTCTGGTCTGGTCCTGCAGGGGTAATCTGTTCCTCTCTCCATTGCTAAGTTTGCTGTTAAAATTTAATGTGGTTACCTGGTTGATGCTTGATCGATGCAGCCCATCACTGCCTAATGCTTTCTGGGCATCCTTTACATAAGTCAACTGTATAAAATATGTCCCTGGGCAGTATAAAAATCTTTCCCCAAAGTCCTATCTGAAAACACAAGTATTTCATAAAAAATCATAAACACACAAAACCCTGTAACCACTTTGTCCTTCTCTGTGAAGTCTGTGATGCTCTTATTTTGACATGGGGTTAGAGTGGCTGCGTTTTTACTGGGTGACTCCATGGTATCATTAAGAGCTGGCATCCACTTCACTTCCTGAAGCCTCTTGATTTCTCTGGGAACATATTCAGAGCTGGGTAATCACAACAATGCAAGAGCTGGATTGATGTTATTCTTCAATCTCTGAAAATACGCAAGTCACCTTGATGGCTACAAATGGATTGCTAGTCACTCAGCTTTAGCAAGAAAGAAATCAATCATTTGAGAAGAATAAATTTGTAATTCAACCTTGTATTGAGGAATTTGATCAAGATTCCCAGCTATCTTGGTTCCAAGACTAGGACATACGTGCACACATGTATAAACACACTAGACATGCACAGAGGTGTACAACTGAAATCAGTCACTGGGTCCCAGTAAACCTTGTTCAAAGCATACTATCATTTTTTAATTTCGTTTCTATGTGAGGTTCATCTCCCTTTGTCCCTTGCACTTTGGAGCTAAAACAATGCAGCCTCTGAAACTGCAGAATTTATATTGTAGGAGGATCCTTCTTGTCATTGTTGTTAGGTGCCACTGAGTTGACTACAACTCACAGCAACCCTCTTAAGAGCAGATGTGAACAGGATGGCACAGAACAGGACAGTGTTCAGATTAGTTGTTCATAGGGTTGCGATGGGTCGTACTTGGCTCGACGGCACCCATAAACAACAATGACATAGGGTCAGGTATTCCGCTTATGATATAAGCCCTCTGACATAAACATGGAAATATTAAGTAGACATTTCAAAGAATCTAGAGATACAAATTCTGTGTGTGTGTGTGTGTGTGTACCATCAAATCAGATCTGACTGGTACAGGAGGAGATTGTCCCTCCTTTTCCCGGCAGAGCATCTGGTGGATTCGAACCATGTGCCTCTGGGATTGTAGTTGCAGCTCCTTGCCACTAGGCCACCAGAGCTCCCCTTAGAGATACAAATTCTTGAGCCATTCATACAATTACGCATTACCATCCCTCTCCTGTGCCGTCCTCATCAGCTCTAATACACTCGAGCCCATTGCTTCAGGCATTGTGACAATCCATCTTGTTGAGAGTCTTCTTTTCTTTCACTGACCCTCTACCTTTCCAAGTATTGAGGTCTTTTTGTCAAGGACTCACCCTTCCTCACAACATGTCCAATGTATGTGAGGCAAAGTTTCACCATCCTTGCATCTAAGGAGCGCCCTGCCCTGCCTGCGTTACACTCTCTCCAATCCTTAACAGTCTAATTATATATGTGAACTAAGGCCAAAATTCTTTCTCTAAAATGCATAATTATATGAATAGCTCAAGAATTTGTATCTCTAGATTCTTTGAAATGCCTACTTAATATTTCCATGTTGATGTCAGAGAGCTTGTATCATAAGCGGAATACCTGATCCTATTTCATTGTTGTTGGGTGCCGTCGAGTCAAGTACGACCCATCGCAACCCTATGAACAACTAATCTGAACACTGTCCTGTGCCATCCTCATAATCTCCGACACATTCATGCCCACTGCTGCAGTCACTGTGTCAATCCACCTGGGAGAGGGTTTGCCTCTCCTTTGCTGACCCTCTGCCTTTCCAAGGATGATGTCCATTTCCAAGTAATAGCCTCTCCTAGCAACATACTCAACGTTTGTAAGATGAAACATTATCGTCTTTGCTTCCAAGCAGGACTCTGGCTGTACACCTTCTCCAACACACATCTGTTTGTTCTTTTGGCAGTCTATGGGGTCTTCTCCAACACCGCAGCTCAAAGGCATCAATTCTTCTGTCATCCTTAGTCACTGCCCAGCTCTTAGGAGCAAAGAAAGTGACTGAAAAGACCATGGCCTGAATCAGGCGTGCCTTTGTTTTGAGAATGGTACAGGGTCTCACTTGACCCTTTAACATCCCCAAAACTGTGGTCCCTATTTCTTGCTCTTCTCATTCAAAGGTACTACCATTTATTATTCAAGTTATTGAGATAAAAATCTTGGTCGTCCTCACTTCTTTCTCCTCTAATCCAACGTGCTAGTAGATCTGGTTATTCTATCTTCAGAATCCATCGACATAACGACCAATTCTCACTACTTTCACCACCATCACCTGGACCAAGCCAGCAACATTTCTGGCCTCAGCAATCGTAACTGGTCTCCTTGCTTCTCTCTTTATTATGTATAATCTGTTTTCTCCCCAGGATTTGACTATTCCTTAAATATCAAAATCAGCTGTTCCCTTGTTCAGAACTCTCCAAGGACTTTTCACCACATTCAGAATTAGACTTAAACTTCCTCTCATTTAATAATGAGGCTTTCATCACCTACTACTCAGCCCTTAGCTACTCTGCTCCAGGCACAAGGCTGCTTTCTAGTCTTCAAACATCCCAAGTGAGTTTCTGCTTCAGGGCCTTTGGGCCTGGCTATCAATCCTCTCCCTCATTTCCCAGAAAACTCTGCTCATCTGTCACTTTTTAGAAGCGCTCTGTCTACCTCATTGAAGAAGGCGCAGCTCCTCCACATCGCCCCATCACTGTCCCGTTAGCCTATTGTTCTTCATAGAAACTAGTAACTGTATTTGTTTCTAGTACACCCTAGTAGAAGTGGGACACACTCTCCTATTTTAGGAAAATGCCTCTTGGGTTTACAAGCATCCTAAACCAGTCTCTCTGGCTGAGGGTCAGGAATCATGAATCAATTGTTCTTCAGTATGATGAATAGTAATAAGCAACCTGGTCACACCATGGTTAAAGTAATAGACTTCTAGCTGAAAGGTGAAGTCTGACAGCTGCTTTGCAGGAACAAAGATATGACAGGCAGCTTCTGCAGAGCTTAAATGCTTGGAAATCCTATGGGGCTGCTCGATCATGCCTAACAGAGTCACAATGCATCAAAATCAACTTGATGGCAGTGAGACTGGCTTTGAGTTTGAACTAGAATATCAGCTCCGTGGAAACCACAATCTTGTTCCGTTTGGTTCATTACACAGCCCTTCAACAGTATCTGGCACACAGCAAGTATTCAACAAATATTTTTTTAAGAGTTAAGAAGTGAATAGTGTTTGCCACCCAGTTTCTAGTGCATAGGAAGCAGCTAACTGGTTACAATCCCAATTTTAGAAGGTTCGAAAGAAAGATAAAACATAAAGATAAAAATCTAGTGTTATAACTTAAGACATCAAATATAAAAAAGCTTTCTATGCAACAAATTTCAACATAAATGCAGTTATTCTGCCTTACTTGGAGTTTCTTCAAGAATTTCCTGGAATTTGGTTCTCTCGTAATCCACCAACTGGCGTTGAAGATGGGGCCTAAGACTCCTGATTGTAAAGTTGACCATGTCCATTCTCATGAGGTCCAGAACGTGAAATATTTGTCTAAAAAAATTGAGTTAAAGGAGTTAGAGGCCTAAATCAAACTGAAATTCATTAACTGTTCTACATTATTACAGAAACAGATGGACATCTTCAAAAACAGTTTTGAAATCCCAATCACCAATTGGCAAGTCTATTTTTTAATAGAAAATCATAGCCACACACTCAAAACTCGAAGGGAATTCATTCATAGATCTCAAGAGTATTCACTGTAGCAGAGAAAACACAGCCAGGTGATCCATTACATCTGATCGTAAACTGATAGACGCTTAGAAGCACAAACTATGCATCTTAACATGGAAATAATAATGGTTGATGAAGGAATTTTCACTTGACAGCCCTTAAAATTTTCCTGGATTTTATTACTAAAGAAATAAAATTTTTAAAAAAATGGAAAGAACAGAATTGCGAGATACAGAGGAAAAAATACTTCATTTTAGATTTGGACAGTCCTGTGCTCAAATACAGATTTACCCCTGGCCACTCCATTGCTAACACACAGAGTCTTCAATCTGGCTGGACCTCAGTTTCCCTGTCTGAGAGGAGGTGACGTCAGTCTTGGAACTATGTTGTAAACACCAATCCAGGTAGAGTGGGGCCTAGCAGGTGCCAAATACATAGCAAGGTGACCACCACAGATCAGCTATCACACGTGGATAACAAGAGAACTTCAAACAAGGATCCTGCATGGGATGAACCACAGTCTGCCAGAGCTGAGCATAGTTCTGAGGACACCAGAAAGCCCAACCGACAGAGAACATGTGACTTTGCAGAAGTTATAAACTTATCTGAGGTCACAAAGTCACTTGTCCAGTATGTACAGACCAGCTTCCATACCTTACCCTTCTAAAACGAATACAGAAAAAAAAATGTCCATTTTCAATGTGACCATATGCACACAAAAAGGACAGAAAAGTCTTGCCAGCAACAGAAAGTACTGCAACCTTCTTCTTCTTGCACTGAGCTCAAAAGGACGTGATCAAACCTATATAATCAGATTGAATGTACACGTCATTTCTCCAGACCAACAAAGATTTGGGACTTTTTTTCCTTTTAATAAATTTTTTTTAATTCTAATTGTGAAATTTTCTTCTAGATTGTATGTCCACTTGCTGTACAGAGGTAGCTCGTGGTTCCTGTGAAGCTGAACACTGTGACACTGATGAGTCAAATGTGATAATGGTTACCCATGGTGGACAGTGTTTGGTGAAGCTCCCCAATTAAAACAAGCTTGGAAGCAGGAGTGGCATCCACTCCATAATAGCTTGCCTCTGGAAACCCAATGAACCTGAAGAAAGGACGAAAGTTATACAGGAGGTGTGCAGGACTTTCGTTCATAAGGTCACTATGAGTCGCCTGTGCCTTGATGGCACTTAACAACAACAACAGCAATTGTGATTTTAATGAAAGGTTACAGAAAAGTTAGATTTTCATTCATTCTTTGTTGGTGTTCCTAGGGAACAACAATATCACCCAGCCCCCTTTCAATTTAAGTGGGACATGTGACCAATTATATTAAATGACTGGTAGCTTAGTGGTAAGGAGTTGTGCTGCCGACCCAAAAGGTGATGTGGTTCCAAATCAGCAGTTGCTTCATGAGAGAAAGATGGGCAAACTCCTCCTACATGACTTACTGCTTCTGAAAATCTGCTAGAGGGCCAGCGATGAGTTGATTCTGACTCAATGGTCCAGAACAACAGTAACATCAGCAGCTGTCATTCCTGGCCTGCCGTAACTACACTTCCAGGTACATGTTCCTCAGTCTCTCTCCCATTCACCAAGAGACAGGAGAAGCCAGGAAGACCTGGGCAAGTGGGCAACCAAAGACTCAGAGAGCCTGGCTCCACGAATGGCACCCAGCAGCCGCCAGACAAAAGATGCTGACAAACATTTGGATTGTGGCAAGAGTGAGAAATAAATATGTACTGGTTAAGACACTGAGAATTTAGGATTTATGTTTTAAAGGAAGACCCTAACGAAGAATGAAATGTCTCAGAATCTTGACTAGACTTGGCTGCCCTGCTGAAGGCTCTGTTAATACTTTCTCTTACCCCCTTCACAATCAGCCCTGGTGGGAAAACAGTCAAGCAACTGAATATGAATAAAAGGTTGGCAGTTTGAACCTCCCACGCAGCTCCACACGAAAGAGTCCTGGTCATCGGCGCTCATAAAGATTGTTGTTGTTGTTGTTATGTGCCATCGAGTCGTTTGCAACTCATAGCGACCCTATGTACAAGAGCTCTAAACGCTGTTCTATCCTGTGCCAACCTAGCCATCTCAAATGCACTTATTCCCACCGCTCCAGTCACAGAATCGATCCATCTCATCAAACGTCTTCCTCTCCTTCGCTGCCCCTCCACTCTGCCAAACATGATGTCCCTCTCCAAGGACCAGTCCCTCCTTGCAACGTGCCCAACATATGTCAGACGAAGCTTCAGAATCTTTGACTCCAAAGAGCATTCAGGCTTCACCTTCTCCAGGACAAACCTGTTTGTTCGCCTAGCAGTCCATGGTATATTCAGCACTCTTCTCCAGCACCACAGCTCAAAGGCATCAATTCTCTTTCTATCATCCCTATTCACTGTCCAACTCTCTGACGCATAGCACGTAATTGCAAAGACTATAACCCTGATCAGGTGCACCTTAAGTCTCCAGCCTGACATCGTTGTTTTTCAGTACTCTTGAGAGGTCCCTCACAGCCGACATTCCCAATGAAATTCATCTCTTGAATCCCTGGCTGCTGTTACCAAGAGTGTTGATTGTGGAGCCAAGCAAACTAAAACTGTTAACTATCTCAATCTCTTCACCATCCATACTGATGCTGTCAATTGGCCCAGTGTTGAGAATCTTTGTTTTCTTGATGTTGAGCTTCAATCCATACAGGAGGCTGCAGTCCTTGACCTTCTGCAGCAAGCACTTCAGGTCCTCCTCAGTTTCAGCAAGCAGGGTTGTGTCATCTGCATAACACAGGTTGTTGATGACTCTTCCACCAATCCTGATGCCACATTCCTCTTCGTACAGCCCAGTGTCTTGGATGATCTGTTCTGCATACAGATTGAAAAGGTATGGAGACAGAATACATCCCTGACGGACCCCCTTCTTGATTTTGAACCATGTAGTGTCTCCTTGCTCTGTTCTGACGACTGCCTCTTGGTCCAAGTATAGGTTTCGCATTAGCACAATCAAAAGTTCTGGGATTCCCATTCTTTTCAGAGTCAACCACAGCTTGTTGTGATCCACACAGTCAAAAGCCTTTGCATAATCAATGAAGATTACAGCCCAGAAAACTCTACTCTGTCACAGAAGTTGAAATCAACCAAGAGGCATATGACATCAACAATCACAACCCCTTTCACAGTACTCATCACAGTGTAATGACTTGCTCAAGGTCTAGCTCTCATCAGATTGTAAACGTCCTGGAGTCAGGGATTATATCTGTCTTTTTCTATCACTGTATCCCCAGAGCCTAAAGTGAGCCAAGGAAGCCTTGTCAGCACACTCTATCTGAACACTCTCACAGTCAATGGCTGACTTACGGCTTAGTCAGTTTTCTGCTTGGGTGAAGGAGTCCTTCAGGAGATCAGTCATTTTTCTGGCCTTCGCCAACATCTACACTTTGGTTTGAATGAATCCAAAGGTTCTTCTTAAGCAGATGTAAGCAGTGAAAGCACTCACCTCAGCACCTCCACGATGTTGCCGGTGGCCTTCAATTCTCTGATGTCATCGTCTCGCACGGGAGCACACAGCTTTCCCATCGTACTAATCACGTAGCTTGCCAGGCCCTGGATGTCAACAACACTGTGCTCGGCTTGCTGCCTAATGAGGTCCGTGTCCAAAACGTCACAGATCTGGTTGCGAAGGCGGTTGCCCCCAGGAGTTAGAAAAGAGAGGAGAATCTGCACAGGGAGAGGAGAGGGAAAATGACCAGCTCTGCGAGGTGACTGAAGGCTGTCCCCTGACCGCCCCATGAGGTGACTGAAGGCTGTTCCCTGACCAGCTCCACTAGGAGATTGAAGGCTGTCCCCTGACCAGCTCCCCTAGGAGACTGAAGGCTGTCCCATGCTCAGCTCCGTGAGGTGACTGAAGGATGGCCGATGCCTCTGTTGCCTCAGTGCTATGTGCGAGCACAGAGGTTCACAATCCTCGTGGATCAAAGGAGGGGCCCAGCATTTTGACTCTAAAAAGCAAGCTCTACCTCTTGAATTAAAGTACTCCTCCCGCCCTCTCACTCATGAATGGTGGATCGTGGAAGAGTCAGCCAGCAAGGAGGAACTAGTATTGAAAACGTAAAACATTTACAGATAAACAGTATAAAGAAGGATGGACAAGTTGGAGGCCATAAAGACTCCTTTAGAAAAGAATAAATGGGAAAACCCTCTTGGCTCCATTAGTAGGTTCTGCATAGGACATATTTATTAACCATGATGTGACTAACCTATTGATAGTCATCCTGGTGGCACAGTAGTTTGAGTGCTCAGCTGCTAACCAGAAGGTGAGTGGTTTGAATCCACCAACCGTTCCACAGGAGCAAGATGGAGTGGCCATGACAGTTCCCAGCCTGGGTGACCCCATGGAGCAGCTCCACTCCGTCCTCTAGGGCCCCGTGGTGAGGACTGACTCAATGGCTGGGATTAGCCGGGTAACCTATTTGACAGCCTCTTCAGTGGACACTGTACTAAGTGCAGCCCGCGCTCAGGGTGCGTGTGCATGAGCGCTGAGCCAGAACGCCTGTTTGCTCTCTGCCCCTTACAACGGTGTGTGCTTCCAACTGCGTGCACCTGCACCGACGAGCGAGCGCAGCTTCTCTCCAGGAGAGAGGACCTACCACATTATCCTTCACGTAAGGCTGAGTAAGACAGTGTTTGCCATAAAGAAAAATATCCCTGGAGGTGTACTGTGTAACGTGTTGGGCCATCATTAATCAAGAGATCAGGTGTTCAAACTCCACTGCTCCTCAGGAGAAAGGCAGGAAGTAGCCTCTCATAATGATTTACACCCTGGAAGAATCCAATTTAAACCCTTGGTGGTGGTTATCTGTGGCTCTGAATCGGCTTGACTGGTTTGGTTTGGTATAAAGCAAGTGCCCTGTAAATGTTTCCTCGTATTGTAACTGTGTCACCTCACTTAGTTCTCCCAACTCCCCCGTCAGTACTTGTATCTTCGCATTATGACTCCCACTAACTCATTCTTTGCCACTGAGTCAGTTCCGACCCTCACAGCTGACCCCCCATCAGGTTTCTGAGACTGTAAGTCACACGGAAGGCTGCTGCCCATCTTTCTCCTATCAAGCAGCTGGGGGATTTGAACCACCAGAGAAGCCTGGCTTAGGGGTTAGTTAGCAACGCAACTCTCTAGGGACCATGAGCATGCAAACTGAAACTTAACAGGTAGTGTTTATAACTGAATAATGTTGCTGGACCCTCGGAGCCTATTCTCTTACCCACTCTCTGCTCTGAGATCCTTCTACTGCGCCCATCTCAAAGGTTCAGTGAAAACCATTCCCAGTGGCTGAATCTGCTCAGTTTTCCACCAAGACTTCCCAATATGAAAGGGCATGAAAACAGCCCCAGGGCAGGGGCCAGATTTGAGGGGTGAGGTAGGGATGGGGTGGTACTGAGTGGATACTGACAGCATCAACTTACTTCTCGGATTTCTTCAAACAGCTTGATGGCATGTTCGTATTCGGGGGGCTCTGCGCTCAGTTCTGATTCCAAGACGTCCCAGAAGGCCTGGTGAACAATGTGCTTCATCCGCCCAGCCAGGCTACAGGAACAAAACAGTTTTCAGACAGACGTGTTATGTTCACTGACTATAAATTAAAGATGTGCCCTGAAACTGGGGAAAACCGCAAACAAAAGTTGACCATGATCATGTTGTTTATTGTTTGATAGATTTCCTTTGTTCAAGTCATTGATTTAACATAGTTAAAAGGACACAATAGATACAACAGTCTATATTTCTTTTCCCTTAATCATTTTTCTCTCTTAATCATTTTCCCTGGGTAGTAGAAGGGCTTTCTTGCTATAGCTTTTAAAAAACAGAATAATATTGTATCCCACGGAGAAGCAATAATTTACCTAGTTACTCTTTTACACACATCTGTAGACCAGTTCCAGATTTGGGGGCTTGGGCCTTTAAGAGATAGTAAAATTGTTCTTTCCTCAACGGCTGAAATTTCATGGCACAGAAAAGCAGAGACTGGCCGCAAGGAGTCACACATTTGGGAGCCTGCCAACCTCAGCTCAGATGTCCTATATAAAGCCAGCAAAGTCACTGCTAAAATCAGAGCATTCTAAGGAAGAGTTCACAACATAATAAGTGGCCATGTTGCTTTAACCCTTACGTCAATGCCCCAAAATAAGAGCAGCTCAAAATACACCATTCAACCAGATGTTCCGCTGGAGGAGGAGGGGCAATCTCCTTCTGTGCAAGTCGGATCTGATTCAATGGTACACAACAAGATTAAAAATAAAAAAAAAACAAAAACAAAAAAAACCAAAAAACCACCACCACCACCATTCCTATTCAACTGCCACATTATCCCTCCACAGCTTTGAGTGAAGCGCGTATTTCTAGGCACTGTAATTGCTGACTTCCCCACGGGGTCACAGTCACACACTTGCCTGGTCAGGGCCATAGCTCCTCCCAGATACCTGCCATGAGCCTAGCAGACAGCCTGCAGACAGTGACGGTTCAGTGGATGCTGGATGGTGAATGATCAAATAACTTGATAAAAGTACAGCTGTCAATTTTAAGTACATAGAATTAACAACAAGATAATATTATTGGTGATGAAAATGAACTTTAAAAAAAAATCTGACCTAAAATTGCTGCTATAACTAAAAATGTATTCTACTTAGTAGTATAAAATGTTAAAATTTACAACCAGATAAGGCACCCTGGAGCCCTCCATCAGATTTCAGAGGCTATAAATCTTTACATGAGTGGCCGATCGATCAAAACCACCAGGCTTTTGTTAGCAGCCAGATACATTACACATTCTGCCTCCAAGGCTCCTTGATTTGTCATTCCTGAGCAAAAATGTCCACAAAATAAAGCTAATGCAAAACCTAACCAGATCAAGAGATGATGACCCATCCTGTGAGCTAGTACTGATTGTTGTACCCTGATGGCTTGCTCTGGACTGGACTTTGCTAGTGGAAGCAAAGGTCAAGCTGCCTATAAACAAATGAATGGTAGAAAACCTATGGTATATTCACACAGTGGAATACTATGCAGCACTGAAAAACAAGGAACTCAAAATATTACATAATGTGAGTGACCCTTGAAGACATGATGCTGAGTGAAATCTCTCAGTCACAAAAGGAACACTGCATAACACTACTGCTATAAAGCACTCATATGGGAGTTGGGGGAAAACCAAGAAAAGAGGGGATAAATAATGAATACTGCGTTGGAACAGATCAAGGAAAGAACTGTTTAAAAGGAATATATGATTATGCATTAATCTGCGTGACAGCAGTCCAGAATAAGAGGTGCACAGTAAAGTGGACTGGGGAAGGGGAAAGGAGAGGGAGGAAACGATACAACAATGAATGACTATTATTCTTTAAAAAAAGTGAACTGGGGGGAGCTCTGGTGGCCTAGTGGCAAGAAGCTGCACTGAAATCCCAGAGGCGCATGGTTCAAATCCATCAGATGCTCTGCTGGAGAAGGAGGGGCAATCTCCTCCTATACCAGTCAGACCTGACTTGACGGTACACACACAAAATATAATAAAATTTTAAAAAAATTTTAAAAAGTGAACTGGGAGGTATAGGGAGGAAAATGTGCAATAATGAATGAATATAAATCCAACTTTACTGTAGACTTTTGTTAAAATCGTAATTTTTCAAAAACTTTCCAAACTGACCAGAAGATTCTTCAGTAAAAGGGCCATGCTTGTTCCCTCAGAAAATACTGGTTGAACAGGGATGGGAAAATCAGAAAGTGGCTATCCAAAATGGTGATAGTAAGGTATGAGGCTTACACATTTTCATGACAAACAGATTCATCCTGGAAAAGGGTTAAACCAGCGGCTCCTTGGAGGCAAGGATTCTTTTTTTTTTTTTTGCAAAAGAATTGGGGAGTCATTTTAATATTTACAAAAACAAATCAGCAGAACAAGATTATATCAGATAGCTGTGTACAGTAGCTGCGGCTTATAAAACATACCAGTAATTGTACCTGGTGAGTATAAAGAAAACCAAGATAAGACTCAGATGAATTTACAACCAAGGGAGTACACAGGGGCATCACCAAATTGGAGGACAAAACAAAATTCACATTTTCTACATTGAAAAAAAAATTACAGATTTCACAAATGTCTTTGAGGACAAAGAAAAATTCGAAGTCCTCTGAATGGTGGGAAAGAAGAAGTATCAAAGAGAAGACTAAAAGCAGTTTTACTTCACAAGACCAATTTTCTTAGCTTCTATCTCATATATCAATAGTCTCCACATTTTGACTATAAAAACTTCGGCTTCTTCATCAAGTACCATGGCTACATCATCTAAAATGCTCTGAGGTGAACTATGAGCCATAACCTTAGAACAAACAAAATCAACTAATGTAGCTTCTTCTTCACCTATGTATTCTATAATTTTCTTATTAATCCATGGTCTAATTCGGCGTTCCATCAATATTGAGTCCACAATGGACCAATCAAGGGGATAGGCAAAGAGCTCAGGTTTGGCCGTGGGAATTTTCTCAATGAGGCTTTTAATGTGCTTGCGCTTTTCTTCTGTGTTCACTGTGGAGGCAAGGATTCTGAGGCTTCATTTAACATACTTTGGACATGTTGTGAGGAGGGACTGGTGCTTGGGTAGAGGGACAGTGCAGGAGGGGAAGGCCCTCTACGAGCTGGATTGATTCAGTGACTGGGGTAATCGGGATGAGTGTATTGGAGACAATGCGATTGGCACAGGACAGAGCAGGGTTTAGGGCTGTTGTACATAGGGTTGCTATGAGTCACAAGCGACCTGATGGCACAGAACAACAACCACAACAGTACTACCAGTAGGATGAATGTAAGGAGGGGGGAAAAACACAATATGCATGAACTAAATACAGGTAAAGATTGTATAAAATACAATGTATATACATGAAATACAATGTGTATTAATGGTAGTGTGCAAACAAATAAAAATATGTCATAAAAGAAAATAAAGCTAATGCTAGAGTCAGCTAAATATAAAAACAGAAAAGCATGGTCACTGTGGAAAACCATTTGAATAGCAAGAGCTAATAACAAGCTATTTCATTTTTAACAAAGGTAACATGTCCCAACTCTGTAACTGGCTCCTTTATTTCACATTTTCTAGCTGTGACAGAAAAAGAAAGGAGGAAGAATGGCTTTTTCCATTGTCCGCATGTACCATGAGCCAAGCTTGTTTATATCCATGAGCTCATCTCACGGGTTTGAAGTGGGGACCGTGGCTGCATTTTATCCCTGGGGAATGGGAGGCTCAGTCAAGGCCAAAGCACAACCAGGATTCAAGCCTCGGGGTCTATCTGATTCAAAAGCACCTTTACTATGAATTTACAGTACAGATACCTCAAAATTGTACTTCTCTATATTTCTATATGAGTTGTAGTTGACTTGATGGCATCTAAGAAGAGCAACATTTCATCAGCTGCCTTGGTGGAATGGTGGGTTATCTGCTGGACTACCACCAGCAACACTAGAGAAAGATGAGGCCGTTTCCTTCCTTTAAAACTGACAGCCTTGAAACCTAATGGAGGGTGGCTGTGAGTTGGAGCTGACTTGATGACAGTGGGCCTATGCTATTCTTAGATTTGCTATATAAAATAACACAAAATTGTCAAATAACTCAAAATTGTCTTTTTTCTGTATTGCATAAAGCACACAAATTTTAACACTAAGAATTCAGTTTCATCAGTCAGTATGCGTTTATTGACCGTCTCTTATGTGCCAGCCCGATTTAGACACTGGCAGTCCTGTAGGGAAAACAAAGACTCAGGTCTCAAGGAGCTTCTTTATTATTATAGCAAAGACAAAAAGCAGAAGGGAGCCAAACATCATTAAGATAAATAATAAAATGATTCCTTTTGAGGAAATAATGAAAAGAAATACTGAATAAGCAACATGGTAGTGATGCCACTTCCAAGATTTAGAGTTAACATTGAATGGGGATGTGTGAAGGCCTAGGGGAGAGGAATAAACCCTGAGGTCACAGCATTTGATGGACAAAGAGTGAGGGGGTTATGGAATTAGGAAAGATCCAGTGGGGATCTGAAAAAGTAAGGTAACGGTGGTGGGCCTGGATCAATGGTGATTAATTTTATAAAACACAATGTATGGGAATGATAATATGAAACACAGTGTGAATGGAGGAATGCATGAAACACACTGTATGCAACTTTCATATGCAAACCCATATAAAATAAAAAAAAAGAAGAAGAAAACTCCCTGAAGCAGGATGAAGCTTGATGTACTCCAAAATCATGAAAGACGTCAGTACGGCGGCAGCAGTACAGCAAGCAAGAGGGAAAGCAGTAAGGGACAGGGCTGGCAAGGGAGGTCTTGCAGGTTGTAATAAAAAGCCTGAGTGTTTAAGTGTAACAGAAAATCTGTCTTGGAGGAAGTGAAACCAATCCACACCAAGGCTGCATTCCCTGATCTTCTGCAACAAATATTTTACCAAAAGGAAAATAGGAAGGGACTGCAAGAGTCTTCAAAGAAGGGATTTAGTATAGTCTGGGAGCCCTATGAAGAAGGGTCAGCCACCCACTTCCAAATTTCACAGGCCTTTGAAAACTATGAACAACAGAGCACTCTTAGACTAGTAGATATAGCATTGACTCAAGACAAGGCAGGGTTCACAGCTATTGTTCATAGGGTTGCTATGAGTCATAGTTGACTCAAGGGCACAGAACAGCATAACAAAACCAGAGGTGCTATGTTGCACAAACATTTAAGCACCTGGCTGTTGTCCAAAAGGCTGGGGTCTTGAACTCACCTGCTGGTGCCCAGTCCTAGTGAGCTGCCTTCAAAGGCTGAAAGAAAGCAGCTCTACATTGAAGGCCTGAAGGCAGAAAACCACAAGAAGTGGGTATAATGGAGCCCCTGGGTGGTATAGCTGTTTAACATGCCCAGCTTCTAACCTAAGGTTGACCATAAGAAGGGCATGGTGATCGACATCTGAAAAACCAGCCACTGACAACTCCACAGAGCACTGTTCTCCCCTGACACGCACAGCGGTGGGGGTGGGGGGTGTCACAGAGCAGCTTCTTGAGGCAACAGATTTCACTTTCTTTCAGTTGTTGCTTTAATGGGTTCAGCAAGGTTAGGTACAGTTTACCCTAGTAAGGGGTATTTGAACGGAATCCTCATGACTACAGGTACACGTACCCTCGAAGATTTTCTTTAGAACTCAAGTGTACTTGTTAGGAGAACAAAATAACTCCTGTTGTATAGGTAATATATAAGAATGTTGAATAAGAACAGTGAGTTAGTGGGTGAGTGAGTATGTGTGTGTGTATTGTCTGGGTACAAGAGAGAGAGAGAAGCAGACAAAAACTTCAGCACAATGTATGTAACCCTCCAGATTACCTGTTCTCCGGGATGGCATCTTGTTTCAATTGAAAGTTCTCATTTACAGCAATTTCATGAGCAAGAGTCATGTTTGATAAGTTCCTTGCTGCAGCCATCACTTCATCAAATGTTACAACCCGAGGAGGGCTTGTTGCTGAAAGAAAACCAAAGCCAGTTAATGTTTCTAGAAGAAAAGTTGCCATCCAATTAAGTCTCTCCATGAAGAGTTTATGTTCTAAAATGCACATTTATTTTTAGGTTTTACAAGGAAAGAGAATACATGTTACACAGAATAAATACTGCTGAATAAAGACCTCAAACATTTGTAAACTCCTTTGATAGTTTCAGTTACTTTGTTATGTACCATTGAGTCAACTGCATCTCATAGTGACCCTATGTACAGTACAGCAGCTCTGAACCCTTCCTTCCCTGTCCTGAGCCAGTCTCACTGACTCTGACACACCTAAACCCATTGTCCCAGTTATCATGTCAATCCAACTTATCTGAAGTCTTCTTCTCCTTCACTGTCCTTCCACTATTCCAAGCATATTGTCCTCCAAGGACTGGTCTCTCCTGGCCATGTGCTCTAAGTATGTGAGAGGGAGCTTCAAAATCCTAGCCTCCAAACAGAAACTTGGTTTCGCCCTCTCCAAGACAGACCTATTTGTTCTCTTGGAAGTCCATGGTATGTTCAATACTCTTTTCCTGCGCCACAACTCAAAGGCATTGATTCTTCTTCTGTCATCTTTAGTCACTGTCCAGTTTTCTGATGTATAGCAAGTAATTGCAAGGACTATGGCCAGGATCAGGTGCACTTTAGTCTCTAGACTGACATCTTAGTTTCACAGTACTCTGGGGAGGTCTCTGAACACAGATTTTCCCAATGCAATTTGTCTTTTGAATTCGTATATTTTAAAATTAATTCTCAAATGTTCCTAAGAATCATATCGATAAAGGTCTATTATGTTAAAGATTTTTTCTATTTTGCTGGAGATTTTGAAAGTTTCTAGTCATCACTATTTATATGCACTGAATTGATAAGGCTGCTTTTTTTTTGTAATTAAGAATTCCCATTAACTTATACAGATTCTGAATAAAAATTGATTTAAAAAAATTATCATTTGTAAAAGTATAGGCATTATAGTACAATACTTAGTTTCAATTTATATATTTGTCTAATGGTGGTCATTGAGGAATAGCTTAAGATAAGCCTATGGAGATTAAATGAGACAATTTATGTTAGGAACATAGGGAGAATTCAATAAATGTTGATACTAAAAATAAGCTGGATAATCTACTCAGTAGGAGGTAACAAAGCATTCTAGTTCCTTAATAATTTCTGTCTTCCTAAAACCAGCATTAAAATCATTAGCTTCTTTTAACTAAAAATATGACCTCACACAGTTGACTGGCAATACTTTGCTGCTACTACTACTACTAAATAATAATAATAAATGCATAAAATGGAGAAAAAGAGTGACACACTGAAAGTTTTAGAAGAAGTAAAACTTTCTTCAGGATGCTGTTAGCAGATACCTCAATTCCATCTAAGATTAAGATTGAGAAAAGGCACAGAAGCCTGGGGTTGCTGCTGGTGAACTTTTTGGCCACCATTCCAGTACTATAAGACTCCTTACAAATGTTTGTGCTGTAGGTCCAATAATTCAATTATATTCAAAGGAACTATAGATTATAAATGATTCATGCACCATGATACTAAAAACCTAATATTCATATAAACAAAAAAATTATAACTTAGCTAAACACAAGGTTAAGTGTATGTGTGCGTTAGTCACCTGATGAAGAAGTGCTGTGCTATAAGCCGTAGCACTGTTGTCAGCTCACAGTGACTCCATGTACAAAGACTGAAGCGCAGGCCAACCCTGGGCCATGACCTTGGTTGATGACGGATGGAACCAGCCTCTGTTACCTCCACAGTTTTCACTGCCTCATCTCTGGAAGCAGACCAATAGGCCTTTCCCCTGTTCATCTTTAATCTAGGAGCAGCACTGACACTTGATCAGTATCATGTTGATGTTGTTACATATCAGCAACTCAGAACAAACTCATAGCTCATCCTCCAGCAAGTTTTCAGAAGCAGCAAATCACATGAGCAGAGATTTTTCTTTTTTATCCCCCAGAACAGCTGGTGGATCCAAACCATGTGCCTTTGGGATGGCAGTGTCTTTCCTTATCCCTAAGCCAACAGACCTCTGCTCTGCAAGAAAGCAACAAAAAAAAGTCTCTAGCGAAAGATGAGTGTGGTACATGAGGTACATTAGCTGCGAATTAAACTGGGTTTCCAGTAAGGAAGGGAGAATTCGACCAGTAAATTTATTACTGCCTTCTGCAGAAGTTGTTGTTGTTCACTGCCATCAAGTTGAGTATGACTCACAGCAACCCTGTGAACAACAGATGGGAACTCTGTCCTATCCTGTGCCATCCTCACCATCTCTGACACACTTGAGCCTATTACTGCAGTCACTGTGTCAATTCATCTGGTTGAGGGTCTTCCTCTCCTCCATCCCTCCACCTTTCCAAGCATGATGTCTGTGTCCAAGGAATAGTCTCTCCTAGCAACAAGCCCATAGTATGTGAGACGAATCTTCATCATCTTTATCCCCAAGGGGTCCTCTGGCTGCACCTTCTCCAAGACATCTGTTTGTTCGTTTGGCAGTTGTAGGCTATTTAGCATTTTTGTCCAACACCACAGTTCAAAGGCACTGAAAAGACCATGGCCTGAATCAGACACACCTTAGCCCTCAAACTGACATCACTGCACCTCAATAATTTGGAGAGGTCTCTGACCTCAGATTTTCCTAGTGCAATACATCTTTTGATCACTTCATTGCTAGTGCCAAATATACTCACTGTGGAGTCAAGTAAGACGAAGACATTTACAGTCTCAATCTTTTCTCCATCTATCTTGATGTTGCCTAATAGGTCCAGTGGTGAGGATTTTTGTTTTCTTATAGCAACCAGAAAAACCAAACCCACTGACATAAGTCAAACCTAACTCATAAAAAAAAAAAAAACAAAAAAAACCCAAAAAACAAGACACAAAACCTAACTCATACAAATATTATTTTTAAAATCTATGATAATCAATATATGTTTTACTTATAATACTACATAAAAAGAATCCAGCTACACACACACACACACAAATGCCAGTATACATACACGTACATTACAATTAATTTACATATATTAAAGATAGGATTAAGATATGACGAAGTATTTCCAGTTGTTTTGAGATAGTATCATAAGCAGTATTTTCTTTTCCCACAGTTATGTACCTTCTAAATCTTTAACAGGACATTGAAAACTGATACAAATAAGCAAACTTTTGATGTGGGCATTTGATCATATTAAACAGTTCTTTCTACACTTGCTTTCCTGGTTTAAGGTATTATACTGCTTATATAAGATGCCACTCTAAAAGCTAAAAAAAAAATCCACTTTCCATATCTCTAATATCTACACAGACAAATTTAAAAACGTGTTTCTCTTCACCAGGGCAACTCTCTTCACTCTTTCTCACTTTCCTGGAGTTCTTGCTGTGGGCATCTTTCAGGGGTGATTTGCACAACAATTTTGCAATTGACAGGAAACCCTTTAGATTCTTTCACTTCCTGCCTGACCCTTTGAATTGAGACACATTCATTTCTTCCTAATTCAGAACAATCAGAAAAGACTAACTGGGGTTTATCCCTGAGGAAGGGAACAGGAAGTGTTCTCAAGTTGTTTATAGGGAGCTGCACTGTTGACCCAAAGGCCAGGCATCTCGGGTGGTTTGAATCCACCAGTGCCTCTGGGGGAGAAAAATGGGCAAAACCAATGAAAAGATTTGCTAAGAGTCTCTTCACATTTGATGGTTTTTGTTTTCTGAGTGTTACTGTTGGGCTGGTAAGCAAAAGATTAGCAGTTCAAATCGACCAGCTGCTCTGTGGTAAAGAGGAGGCAGCCTGCTTCGATGAAGACTGGGAGCCTGGAAAGCCCATGGAGGGTTGCTCTGAGTTGGGATCAACTCAACAGCAGAGGGTCAGGTATGCAGTTCTCGGGTAGGATAGGGGATGGTTGAGCTGGAGAACTTGATTAAATAGTCAAAGCCAAAGCACATTCGGGACAGGGATGACATAAAACTCAGTGGTTGTACACTCCTGAGGGGCTGTACTCCCGCAAACATGCAGAAAACAGCGGCAGTGCCCTCGCACTGGCCTCTGAAACATCCAGGAAGGAGGAGCAATTCATGCTTAGCTCTCACCTGTCTCTGAGTTTTACAATCCAACACACGTCTAGAAGCATCCGCACTCCCCACCCCACTCCCCAGCCCCTGCCCCCCTGGGGGCTTACAAGCAGGAGAGTTGGATTTGCTGGAGGAGTTGCTTGTGAAGCTCTGCCTGGAGCACTCATAGTCACTGAGTGAAGCCGTGCTTTCGGAAAACCGGGAAGAGTCTGTGTCGCTCGGCTGGTCCTCACCCACACACTGCTTCTCGCCATTAAGGGGCATCGTGAGTCCCTTGAGCGTGCACAGTGATCACCTGCAGAGACAAACACGCCCTCGCTGAGCATTCTGAGCGACGTCCCCTGGTGACATGGCAGCGTGAGAAAAGCCTGCAGACAAAGACCTCTTCCTTCCCCCAGGACCCAGGCGGGCCTTCCCCAGGCCTTTCGGAATCGGGAAAGACATTCTACATCTACAGTGTATGCTTACTCAGGGCTCAGCCAGTGTGAATGTGGAGAAGCAGCTCTCAGTGACAACATCTTTAAAACACACACACACACACACACACCCCTTTTTCTTCCATCTGTAAAGCTAAACATATTGTTGCTATGTGCCATCAATTTGCTTGAGGCTCACAGCGACCCTATGTACAACTCCAAACCCTGCCAGGATATTGTCTCTGACACACCTACCCCCTTTACCCCAGTCACTGGACCAATCCATCACATCGAGGGTCTTCCTCTCCTGTGCTGTCCCTCCACCTTCCCAAGCATGACGACCCTCTCCAAGGATTGATCTCTTCTTGCAACATGTCTAAAGTTATTTCAGATGGAGCTTCAGAATCTTTGCCTTGAAGGAGCAACCTGGTTTCACCCTCTTTAGGATGAACCTGTTTGTTCTCCCAGCAGTCCATGGTATATTCAATTCTCTTCTCCAGCACCACAGCTCAGAGACATCAATTCTCTTTCTATAATTCCTAGTCATTGTCCAGCTTTCTGATGCATCAACACAGGAAGGAAAGAATAAGAGTACAGCACTCTAAGGTCAGACTATGGGGTTCAAACTGCATCCTGACTTTTGCCATAGGACCCTGGAGAAGTCACTTAAACGCTCTGCTTTAGTCAATTACCTCATAGAGAATATTTGGATGAAAACTAACTTCTTAGACTTATTAGATTAAAAAAAAAAGGAAAGGAAAGAAAACCCAACCCAAATTCATTGTTACCCATAGACTGCAGTTCCTAGGAACCCTATAGCACAGCTCAGCACAGAATCAGCCCGTAAGGATTCCAAGGCTCTACGTGATCTTCATGGAAGCAGGCTACACCTTTCTTCCACTGCTACAGCCACTAGTGGGTTCTAACCACCAAGCTTAGTCACTGTGCAAACAGGACTCCTTGCTTAAAGATTAAATAGGATAAGTCATATCAAAGTGTTCAGCACAACACTCAAATGCTGCCTATTACTGTTGTTTAAAATATAAAATATTTAAAAAGTCAATTTCTTTAATCTCAGTGAGCTTCCTGGAGGAAGGAGAAGACAGACACTGGACTAGCAAACCACTAGGCTCACCCCGCACTCCTCACTCCTCATTTTCACCTGACTTGTCATGGCATGAAGGGGGAAGGCCAGACGTTTGGTTTGTGTTTTATCAGCGTGATGAGCACAAAGGTGCATGGCATGGCATCCTGATATGCAGGTGGGTGTTAAGAGGCCCAGAGGGAGGATGAGACCAGCTATGCCATGAAATGAAGAGCCTGTGAAGCTGCCAGAATGTGAAAGCCTCTCTGGCCAATGTGACCACAAATACCTGCACCATTTCTGCAATAAATTCGTTACCTGAGTGTCTACTGTGCACTGGGTTATTAGGCAAGTGACTAATAAAACAATGAAACTCAAATCTAGTTATCATAACTCTGTGTGAGGATGTGAAAAAAATTAGTCGCCATTGAGTCAATTCCAAATCATGGTAACCCCACATATGTCAGAGTAGAACTGTGTTGCACAGATTTATTTTTTTTAGATGGCTGATTTTTAAAAATTTCCTTTTCATAAATAAACTGTCTGGTTTTTCTTCCAAGGTTTCTCCTGACAGATCTGAACCTTTAACATTTTGCATAGTAAATAAGCATGTCAACTGTTTGCACATTCTAATTACCCTATGTACCATGTTAGCAGATCCGAAAAGGGAAATCAGGACATAGCAGAAGGGGCACAAACACAGGAGCCAAGGTCAGAATTAAGGAGGTTTGGGGCTTTTGTTGAAAGAGGACCATTCCTCCAGAGCAGTGACAGAGACAAGAATGGGCCAGCGAGAGACTTATTAGCAGCCTAAGGCTCAAACACATTCGTACCTTATTCACCAATAACCCTTTTTATATTGCCCTGACAGAACAGTCCCTGTGCAGCCCACCCTTTGTGCAAACAGAAGACCAGTAAGAGTGGAGCATGGCTCAGACTAAAGAGCTGGTCCAGAGTGAGTGTGGAGGCTAGCTGTTAGAAGTTGCTGTGTAAAAATATTCACCTTATCCCAGAGTCCCAAAGGCTATCACCATGAATGCAGGTCATGAAATAGCCCCAGACCTTTGCATCTTTAGAAGTAAAATAACCTTCTCTACTGTAGGCAAGGACAGTGAAGCTTCACCTCACATACTTTGGATGTATTGTTAGGAGGGGCTATTCCTTGCAAGGGACATCACGCTTGGAAAGGTGAAGTGTCAGTGAAAGAGAGGAAGACCCTCAATGAGGTGGACTGACAGTGACTGCAGCAATGACGGGCTCACATGTCAGAGATGATGAGGATGGCACAGGGTAGGGCAGGGTTCAGATCTGTTGTTCACAGGGTCATACTCGGCTTGAGAGTACCTGATAACATCTGCATGACACTGTGTTAAGTGGAGGGCCGACGAGGTAAAGAGACCCTTAGGAAGACGGACTGGCCCTACAGCTGTAACAATGGATTCCAACATGCTGGCGACTGTGGGATGATCCACACTGAGCAACATTTTACTCCACTGTTCATAAAGTTGCCATGAGTCACCTCAATAGCAGCCATGTATCCAATAATCCTATGAAAAGCAGATTCTACTTTAGCTTTAACTCCAACATGTGCGGAGTGAGGGGGTAGAATAAAGGAGAGGAGTTGTTAGAATCCTTCCACGTCCAAACCAAAGCTTGGTGCCACTGAGTCAATTCTGACTCATAATGACTCTGTGTGACAGAGCATTGTTGTTGTTGTTGTTGTTGTTGAGTGCCATCAAGGAACCACCTCACAGCTGACCCTCCAGCGGGTTTTCAGAGGCAATAAACGACAAGGGAGGAGAGTACCCATCTTCCTCCTGTGGAGCAGCTAGTGGACTCCAGCAGCATGCCTTTGGGCTGGCAGTGCAACTCCTTACCCCCAGGCCCCCAGAGCTCCCTGTGTGACAGAGCTGAACTGCCTATTTCCACACCTGTAATCTTCATGGGAACCCTGCTGACTCAGTGGGTGAGTGTTCAGTTGCTGAGCAAAAGGTTGACAGTTTGAATCTACTGGGTGGAAGAAAGACACGGCAGTCTGCTTATGGAAAGATTCACAGCTTTGGACAGTTCCACTCTGCCCTGTTGTTACGTGCCGTGGAACCGACTGCGACTCATAGAGACCTATGCACAGTAGCTCCGGATCCTGCCCCATCGGGAGCCAGGATTACTGTCTCCGACACCCTGGGCTGCTAAGAGCAGGAATCAGCTTGAGGGCAGTGGGGTTTCGTTCTCATCTTTTCAGAAACAGGAGGCCCCATCTTTCTTCCCTAGAGCAACCAAACCTTAACCACTGTACCACCAAGGCAGTGGTGATTTCACTTCTGCCAAACTCATGATCCTCAACAGAATGCTTGCCCTCTCCTCCAGCTTTGCCTCTCTGCCAACATCTACTTTTCACTGATTGCATTTCTGGAAAATGCCATCTTTCCTGGGAAGGCCTTCCCTGTGCTCTGGTCAGCGCCAACGGCAGTCACCTCTGAAAACCTGCAGCACATCTCTTGGCTCTCCTCGACAGCCCTCAGAGCTCTGTACTGTTCGCTTCCTCCCATGGGTATCCCGGTCTGTCCTTAAAAAAGCAGAGCCTGTGTCTTGTCCATCACCAGTGTCAAGTTCGTGACAAGTCTCACTTGGTGTGAGCTGAATTGAAATCACTGAGTCTCATTTGGTACAGGTTCAACCAGAACATTTGCAAACTGATATCGCTACACATGTATGAGTCTGGTGCTGCCCAAGTCTCAGGCCTGGAGCAGGGAACCTACCACTGCAATTTCATATTCAAATCCTTGGGTCTTTGTCACACTCTCACTTGATTATCTTAAAGACTGTTCCCTCTTTATTAATTTTTCCATCACTCTGCCACAACTCTTAATTTCTCTCTACTACAACTGTCTTAAATGAGCAGGCTCTATGGCAGTTTTTCCAAATCAAAGTGAATAAATGCGTTCCTACATGGACATTTATGCACTACTCTAACAGCCCTAACTGTCCACTTCATTCTCCTACTCCAGTTAGACAGCATACTTCATAGGTTTCTTAATTGTGTTCAGTAAGGCAGCCTCCAGGGTAGGAGTTAAAGTTCTGGTTTGGGGCCCAGGCCTGTCATTAGCTTGCACATCACATCATCTCTCTTCTGAGCCCGTTTTTCTAAGGGGACTGTCCAGCAAGGATTTGCTAAAGGTCTATAAAACCAGAGTTCCAGGAGTTCCGAGAAATTAAACATGCTTCTGGTAGGCATGCCTGATAATATACATCTCTTTATCCTAACAACCCTTTGACGGAAGAGATTCTGCCTTCTGTAGGAACTGTGACAGAAAATTCACAAGCTTCTTTAAAGACAGCTCTGGTGGCTAAGGAGTTGTGTTGCTGACCCAAATGTGAGTGGTTCAAATTCACAAAGTGCCCCATGGGAGAAAGATAGGCAATCTACTGCCTTGTGATTTACAGCCTCTGAAAACCAGCTGGAATGTCAGCTATGAGTTGGTCTGACTCAATAGCACTGAGTTGTTTTCTGCAGGGAGAAAAAAGAACTCCAAGAGAGTAATTCTCACTTTGAATTTAGAAACTCTTGTTTCATTGACAGGCGGCTACACATTACAACTGGATTTCAGTGCATCCAAGAAGAAGACGACTTTCTTTGAAGCCAAAGCTCCCACTATTACTCTATTTAGAATTGCTCATTTCTTCATATGGGAATAATAAGAAGAACAACAATAAAAATAATGATGCTTAACTCATGTGAGGTTCATGTGAGACTTCATTTAGTCAATAAATGGACAA